TTGCCGAGGGCCAGGAGGTCTCCCCTCAGCCTCCTCTGCTCCAGACTGAACCCCCCCAGTTCCCCCAGCCGCTCCCCAGCAGACCTGTGCTCCAGACCCTGCCCCAGCTCCGTTGCCCTTCTCTGGCCACGCTCGAGTCACTCAATGGCCTTTTTGGGGTGAGGGGCCCAGAACTGAACCCCCTCAGCGAGGGGCGGCCTCCCCAGTGCCGAGCCCAGGGCTCAGATCCCTTCCCTGTCCCTGCTGGCCACGCCAGTGCTGACACCAGCCAGGATGCCGTTGCCCTCCTTGGCCCCCTGGGCACACTCTGGCTCATTCTCACCCCCCAGTCCCTCTCTGACCGGCAGCTCTCCAGCCACTCCTCCCCAGGCCTGGAGCCCCCCTGGGGGTTGTTGTGGCCCAAGGTCAGAACCGGGTATTTGCCCTTAATGAAACTCTTACACTTTGCACTGAATTAACTTAACCCGTGGCCCCGATGGTGTAACCAGAATAGGAGACATCAGGCAACGAGTTCATCTGAGCTTTATCTTTGGTGTGGAAGGCTGGCCTGCTGTGGGGAGCCCGCTGTGGCTACCAGCCTCTGCTCTCAGTGGTAGTTGTGGACTTGTTAAGAGTTTTGGTAACCTTCCCTGTCTTTCTACATCTGTCAGGTGTTAGATTTTTATTTTTTTTTTATTCTAGTGACAGCAAAGCTTAGTGGAGACTGGTGTGTGCACCACCGTCGTGTGCATCTGCTGCACCTCTGGTTTTACAGATGGGGAGACCGTGCTCTAGGCGTCTCCGTCTAATTCTGCTGTGACCTTTCTGCAGGCACTGAGATGTTTAACAAGAAGTTTGCAGAGTTCATGGATAAATGTTTCTGTGTAGGCTTTGTTCTGTGTGTAGTTGGTGTGAGGCTGCATCTTGTTGCTTGATGATTTATCTTGCATGTGGATCTGCTTCTTGCACTTGAACTGCCTCTTCCAGCATGAGTGAAACCTTCTTCTATCTTCCGTGTTGAACCAAACATCCCCCAAACCTTTTGCCCTTTGCAGCAGAAGACAGTTCCTCGTAGTAAAGAAGCTCCTCCTGCCCGTCACAAGAGGCAGTCGGGCCGCTCAACTGTAAGTCACCTGCGCATGGCTGGAGCTGGATGTGTGATCTGAGAGGACGTTGTAGGGCCAGGACAGCCCTGCCTCGGGGAAATGGGCCAAATTCTCCTTCCTTATGAGGAGAAGTGTTGGTCCTGTGGTCCTTACATCTCACCTTATATAATAGGAGCTTCTAGCAGGGCATTTAGTCTTCCCCGCTTGATCTGCTCTCATGTTCCTGGGCCTGCATCTACCTCAGAGGCTGTGCCAGAGATTGAGTTCTTGATACTTTTGACCTCCAGCCCCTGCCCCTTTTTGGGTGGGTGAAGATGGGTCTCTTTTAACCTTCCTGCTCAGAGCAGCTCGTGCTTCCATGTGTCTCCCTGAGACCTGCTCTCTGTGTGCCCCATGTTCCCCTCTCTTCGTCTTAATCCCTGTGTTCCCCCCTCTTCATCCTCAGTGACTGCTGAGATGTCAGAAGCACGTCAACTGCAATCGAGAACCACCTTATAATTATATGCAGGGTGCCCTTGAAAGAGTATAAATTATTTCCTCTATTGTTGTATTCAGTTATAAATGACAAAGCGTGAAGGCCTGTTATTTTCTTTCCCTTTGATTTGAATTTATAGATAAGGGCCTCCTTAAAAAAAAAAAAAAAGCGCTCCTTTTTGTTGTTAAAACAAAGACTTTTGAAGCTGCATCGGTATAATTGCTCCCTCAGGATGTGTTAAAGTAGATTTAAGTTGTTTTGAGAGGAATTAAAGGCTGGACCGGGGAAGGCAGGAGTACAGAAACGCTGGGATCTCTTCCCAGCTTCCACAGTGACTCGCTGGGTGACGTTAGGCAGGTCACTTCTGCACTCACATTCTGTAAGATGAGACCAGCTGCCCCATTTCAGAGACTCGGTGTGAAACTTTCTAAATTCTCTGTGTGTTTAGTGACAGTCTGTGATTTGAAACTAAAGGATGACTTAATCCTTTGCTCCTCAGTGCCAGCTGAAATTTCTTGAAATAGGTTTTCTGCTTCACTCTATAGAGCTAGTGTATTGTTTTTAGAAAGCCTTTAAGAAAATGCCTTTTTTTCTTAGATTAGTTCTTATATTTTCTTCTTCCCTGAAGGCATGACTCTGCTTTGTTTCACTGAACCATTGGCCTTGGGAGTAAACAAACAGATTTATTTCATCTTGGTTTTCCTTGTTGCAGAGCTCAAGCACAACCTCTCCTGGGCCTGCTGGTGACCAAAATGAACTCCTTTCCAGAATTTCTCACCTGGAGGTAGAAAATCAAAACCTTCGCAGTGGTAAGTAGGAGAATCTTCGGGCATGAAAGCAAAACTGGGTGATGGGGTCCTGCTCCTGTGGGCTTGTACCCCTTACTGAGGTTGTGGTCAGGTGAGCACATGCCAGTGTCTTGAGCAGAGCTTTGCAAAGCTTTCCCTCTGTCTGGGGCAACTGGTGGGTTTTAAAGCCCACTTTGAACAGAAACAAATTTATCCTGACTTACAAACTGATGCAGAGCCTGCAAGATACAGTTTGTTTATTCCTCCCCTCTCTTCTCACAGTTGTTGCAGACCTTCAGATGGCCATCTTCAAGTTGGAAAGTCGTCTGAACGCTCTGGAAAAATCATCTACCTCCCACCAGCCCTCACCGGTTCCTCCAACCCAGGTGAGCCTTGGCAGAGTGGTGTTCTTAACTGCTTCACGCTCATAACGTCACTCCCAAGGTCTTGCTTGAAGATGGCGAGATGCTCATAGTTAGGATCTGTTTGGTGCAGATTTTCCAGCAGTTTTGGTAGCTGCCTTGCCGAAAATATCTTGCCCAAATATTGTAGAGATAGCTTGCCAAATGTTGTAGAGAGGAGTAGTCTGCCCTAGGACCAGCAAAGAAGCTACGTTAGAGATTTCAGCCAGGGAGAGCTGATGCAAATCTGTGAAGCTTGGAATTAATACATACTTGATTAGCATTTAGCCCGTGGCACTGTGAATTTCTTAGCAGGCACCAGGTAAAATATCACTTTCTTACAATAAACAGAATTGGAGATGCTTTTTTAACTAATGTCCTCTGTAAGAATATGTTTAATTGGATTTAAGGCAAAGCTCTGTGGGAGCTGAATGCGTGGCACCGGTTTGATCAATTCTTGCTGTAGGTTGGAAGATGTGCTGCCAGCGGTGCTGGGGGTCTCTGCAGTAAAGCCTACAGAAGGTGTAGACCCCCTCCTCACGTGAGGGGAAGACGCTTGGTTGCGTTCCCAACTGCTGTCCCACTCAAAATTTTGTGATCTAGATATCCTGAGCCCTTAGCAGAGGGATCAGCTCTTGGCTACGTGGTGGTTTTCGTTCTAGGAATAGATTTACAGCTGTGCCGGGCTGTTTCAAAGGTCCTTCTTGTCAAATGTCCTATTTTCATGGCTTATTCTTCACACAAATCACACGGTGTGGGCCACATTGGCTGGTTTGAGCGATGTAGACTTCTGTGCCTGAGCTGCTCCGATTCAACTCTGGGTTAATCTTCTCCCCTTTTCCTTGATGCCAACTCGGAACGCGCCTCACCCCGATGAAGAAAGTGGAACCGTTCAGTGTTCCCTCCAAAAAAGTGGAGCTCCCATCTGCTTCACCAGCAAAGAAACTGGAGCCAGCTGCTGCAGAGGAAGACGATGATGATGACATTGACCTTTTTGGTAGTGATGATGAAGAGGAAGACCAAGAGGCTGCTAAAGTCCGGGAGGAGAGACTGCGTCAGTATGCGGAGAAAAAAGCCAAGAAACCGGGTCTTATTGCCAAGTCTTCTATCCTCCTGGATGTGAAGCCAGTGAGTAGCTGAAGCGGCGGGGCTCCTGGATGAGGCTGTAAATAGTTTTGCACTTTTAGGGGGGGCACTGGTGAAGGTGCGACCTGCAGACTTCCAGACTGAGGGGCAGAGAGAGGTGGGATATTGCCGCTGGGATCTGCCACCTTGCTCCGTGGCAAGTGCAGGCTGTTACCTGAGGCCCCCTGACCCAAACTAACCCTTTTCTTTGAAGAAAAAACAGATATTAATGCCATAAAGATAGGAATGAGCCTTTCTTTGTCCACTTGACATGGTAAGACAAAAGCTCTGAGTGAGCTAGTGCTCTGAGAGATGCCCTTGGTTAAAAGCCACTAAAAAGTGAGCGCTTTAAAGCGGTTGTGTTGCTGTAGGAGGA